CCCGAAGCTGTGATAGCTGAAGTACATACTCTAACCAGGCCGGATGTTTCTTGCTCGTACTCTTCTTGGCTAAGAAGGCTGGCGTTTCTGTTCCTGTTTGCTGCTTTTCTAGAATGCGTGACACATAGCCATGCAGCTCAACCCATTTGTCTCCCATAAACAGAACAGCATCGCTAGTTGGGGCCTGCCAAAAGAAGGGACTTGAGCCGCTCGTTTCGTCCGCTTCTTCAGCTGGCGGGACTGTTAGGGGTGTTGTATCATCAAGAAGAGTGCTGGGAGAGTGAAAACTGATGCCCATGATGTTCTCATTCCAGTCCTGAAGAATGGAGGATTGTGAGTATAGGCTATGAAGAAGGGTGTATTTCACATCTGGCTATGTCAGTGCTGCCTGGTTAGGCATAGAAGATCACGTACAGTTGAAAAATTGAGGCGAGACCTCAGTGTGAGCTGCCAGAACAAGCACATGATTGTGTGACGGCTTGCTTGGCCAGAATGATTCTAAAAATCGAACTGAACTCTCTTCCTCATCTATTTTCCGTGACGAAATTCGATGGCGAAGAGAGAGCATTTGCGATTGAGGGAGCTGCCCAGAAGCCTTGGAAGGCCAATGGAAACCAGACAAGAAGTTTCCCAATGGCCTTTCTACAACTGGAGGTAGCTCGACTGTCAGCTGGGGAACCGACAGGGCACTCTTATCGGCCTTGCGCAGCGAGGTGAGGAGTCTTTGTAGATTGGCAGTGCCAACGGGAGGTGCCTGGACTAATATATCGAAATGCACCTTGTTCCAGGCTGATAATAGTTAGTGAGTATACATGGTAGCGAGAAGCAGGGAGAGCTACTCACCAGCCAATGCTGAGGCGTCAAGCTTGGAGATCCACGCAAGACGAGTTTCTGGCTTCTCTGGCAGCTCTATAAGAGCAGCCCTCGTCCCAGTGATCTGATCTCGTATGGCTTGAAGGAAGTAATCCTCTTCCTTCTGGGTAGAGTCAACAATAATTGCTTGAGGGTGCATAAAGTTCTCAATATAGACTTGACACAATTTTGTTAGACAAATGTGTAACGGGTTGGTTCGAATTGGAGCTTACAGAATGCACGGATAGCAGCGAGTTTCAGCCTCAACTCAGAAGACGTGGAAGCATAGTCAGTGCGGGCATCTACACAAGTAATTAGAAGACAGGCCCGGCAGCATTGAGAAGAAGCCCATACCGTGTACATATATCTTGCAGCTTTTGTCGATGCCGTTTATCTCAAGGAGTTCCTTGATGGGGATTTCTTCCCTGCTCATAAGCGCAAAATGAACATGGTTCTTTTCTTGCGCCGACATCTGGCAAGCCATTGGCAGAAGGGTAGAGGCGCTGTTGATGCTGGAAGCAGCAAATAGAATGTTCTTGTTTCTTTCGTAAGAGCCGCCGGTCCCTTGGATGTTGCGCAATGTCTCTGCGAGCTCTGGGAATTTGAGGGGTCCCCTATGGTAGACCTTGTCCTGTCCCTGTTTGCGCCCCGGCGCAGACCTCTCTGATGCCGCATCGGCCGAGCTATCGGAGGACGACACGAAATTGTATATTATGAAGAAGACGATAGATATGAAGACTAGGTATGAAATAAGGCGACCGACGGAGCTACGGCGGGGAGCACGCGGCGCAGCCTGCCATTGAGGACCAGATCCCGAGTTATGATAGCGATGCCCTGGGAGGTGAAGGTCGTCGTCTTTTTTATTGGCCATCTCCTCATCCCCTGCCCAGAAGCGTGCCTTTGTTCTGCCGCGTGCAGGCGTCATATTGTTGTGGGAGAGTTGTCGTCGATCGGAAACGCTTGGAGCTCAAGAGTCGATAGAGGACGGGTTAGTTGATAGAGCTCATGGGCGCTAGCTTTATCAAAAGGTTACCTGGCTATAGGCAGGCATTCGTACGGCGATTATAAACATGCAGAGGGATCAAACGCAGTTGCGATGTATTGGGTGAGTGTAACAAAAGAAACGACGCTTGTTCTGAACGATTATGTGTGTATGAGGATTATTAAAGGATTGAGGATGATGGAGGATGACGGAGAGCACCCAAGTTAGTTGAGGTCGGTAGCTGCTGACCCTTGTTTCCCCAGGACAAGACCTTAGAACAGCGTGGCTCGTGCTTGTCTCGTCACTGTTGTAGTTTGGTTGGTGCTCCATGGGTAGGTAGCTTTCAGTGAGCTTCAGGTCCCTTTGGGCTAACTAAATTCAGTATCACAGCTATAGGTCCAATTACTGCAAACAGTTTTAGGTTTCCATGTCTCTGGGCAACCAGAAGGTTTCATGATAGTGGTACATAGTAATATCGATGCTTATTAATAACATCATGTATAATGACCCTCATGAGACTGCTCCAGTTCGAAACCATCATCTCCAGAAACAAAGCAAATGAGGAGGGAGAAGAATGGAAGAGCGAATATTCGATCAAGCGTGCCTATATGATATTTACATGGCCAGAACGATGTGTATTAATACTTCCATTATTCGAATGATTACTGCCACTGATCGATATACTTCAAATAATCATCTTCATGTGGCCTCCGAGTCTAAAACAATCCTTGTCAGGTTTAACTCGGGACATTTTTCGTGGTGGGGCACGATCCAATTCGCCGTCAAATATTCATGTAAATTTTTAGCCGCCTCTCAGCTCGCAGTGAAACTTACACAATAACTACCTACCTTTTATTCTCTGACAACATATAATACTACAATGGGAAAATCTCGAAGAGCTCGTGGCCACGCGGCCCGTAAAGACCCTATCGCAAAGACCGTCAAACCTCCTTCAGACCCTGAACTTGCTGCTCTTCGAGAGTCAAAGATTCTCCCTGTCATCAACGACCTCAAGAGTGCCGACCCCAAGTCTCGCTCTGCTGCTGCTTCCGCCATCTCAAACATTATCCAAGATGAGAAGTGCCGAAAGTTGCTTCTGCGTGAGCAGATTGTTCATACCATCACTACCCAGACACTCACCGATGCTGCTCTCGAGAGCCGTGCTGCTGGTTGGGGTATTCTGAGGATCCTTGCGCAGGAGGAGGAGCCTGACTTCTGTGTCCATCTTTATCGTGTCGATATTCTCACTGCTATCGAGTTTGCTGCTAAATCTGTGAGTGCATCTACTCCTCCAACATGGTTCATATGCTAACACTCACAGATCACCGAGATGCTCCTCTCCAAGGACCTCGAATTTCAAAAACGGTCAAAGCCCGAACAAGCTACCATTCTTAGCATTGCTTCGTCACTAATTTCTCTCCTGACTGCTCTCGCAGAAGCTCAAGACGACATCCTTGAGGCCATCTCCCGCAACACCACCATCACTCGCTTCCTCTTACTACTCACTTCAGATGAGCTCGCCAGCAACCCTGATATTGTCTCACTAAGAAGCGATGCTCTGGCTTGTCTCATGATCCTCTGTGAAGATAACGAAGAGCTATCTGACAAGGTCGTCAACTCCAAGGAGTACCGCACTTATGGTACTTTGCTGTCCCTGCGCAAGACCGCCAACAGCGATGGCGTCCTTGCATGTGGTGTCCTCCACAATCTCTTTTCCTCCCTCGACGGCCAGGACATTGCTCTTGGAGCTGACAACTCACTTCTCATCCCCACCCTTTCACAGGCTCTCAAGACATTTGAGCCAGGCCAAATGACCGACGCTGTGGGCTGGGCCAACCCCGTCGAGTATCAGCAGCTCGCCCTCGAAATTTTAGCTTCTATTGGAACAACATTAAACACATCAGCCGAAACCGAACCCCGGAAGGAAGAGAAGCCCGACGTCAAGGATGATGAAGAGATGGGCGATGTGGACGAAGAGATCTCTGACGGCGAAGAGGAGGGAGGCGAGGAAGATGATGACGAGATGGACGACGATGAGCTGGAAGCCGACATGGAGATGGTTACTGGTGCGGACAGGAACGAGGAAGACAGCAACATCGATGATCTTCCCATCCTCAAGACTCTCATCGACAACGCCCTTCCTGAGCTCATCCGTATAGCATCCCTCTCCCCCACTGATGACGCTTCCCTTCGCTTGCAAGGCCACGCCCTTTCCGCTCTCAACAACATTGCCTGGTCTGTCTCCCTCATCGACTTCTCTGACCTTCACAACGCACCGATTCAAAATGCCTGGGACCCCGTTGGCCGCGCTCTGTGGACCCAGGTCATCGCTTCTATTCTCGCAACTGATACTGCTGACATCGACCTCGCGACTCATGTCACCAGTCTTGCCTGGGGTGTTGCCCGCTCTCTGCGAGGCAGGCCCAACACACCTTTCGCTGATGAGCACCGCCGCTTCATCGCCCTCTACCAGGCCACAAAGGGTTCACCTGTTGCCCAGAACTTGGAGGATCCCTTCCAGTCCCTCAGCGTCAAGTGTATCGGAGTCCTCGGCCAGCTGGCCCTCGATCCCGCTCCTATTGACCGAAATCGCGATATCGGTACTTTCTTGGTTACTCTCCTCGCTGGTCTTCCCGAGACACCAACTGCCGACGCGGTTGAGGCCCTCAACCAGGTCTTTGACATCTATGCTGATGAAGGTTATTCATACGACAAGGAGGTTTTCTGGAACAACAACTTCCTGAAGCACCTTGATGAGACAGTTCCCAAGGTGCGAACTATGATCAAGAGCATCGATAAGCGTGCCAACAGCGAGCTTCGTCTGCGCGCCGATGAGGCCGTGTTGAACTTGAATCGTTTCTTGACATACAAAAGAAAGAACAAGCCCCAGGCATAATTGGTTAAATAAAAGCACTTGGTTTTTCTAGACGCAAGTCTATAGACATTTGATCCATTTCTGATTTACCTCCATTTCTTTGCCCATGGTACCTACCATACGTCCCATGTGAATCTTTGAACTGTTATTGTACTGAATATGTCCTTGGTGCCTTTAGATTGGTCCCAGTACCTTGCACCAAAGCCCCAAAAAATATTGATCTCAAAATCTTAGCAGTCCCGAAATGACATACCACCACTATATCCCACATCTAGAACAAACTGGCCTCTCTTAACACCGCTCAAAAACCCGATAGAGGCCTTTCAGATTTGCAACCTCCAGAACTCCATCTTCCATCAGCGACTTGGTCGCTACCAATCTCGCTTTAAATGCTGGAAAGAAGACATGCTCAATAGCGTGTCTGATATGTTGCCGCCTTGCCCGCAACTCTTCTGGGATATCCTCCTCACGAATACTGTCTGCGTCACCAGGCAAACTTGGCAATTGTTCTGGGACGTAAAAGGTGGCTAGTTCCCGTATGAAAGAGTCAAAGCAGGCCTTCTCCTCAGTCCAGTCAACGTTAGGGCCAAGGCGGAGGAGGAAACGAGGGAGTTTAACGAGAGGTGGTGTGTATCCCTTCAATAGGAGTGGTAATGAAACTAGTTCGCCAGCAGGTGATATCTCGAGAGAGAAGTACTCAAGAAGCATCTCGCGACGCTCAATGAGCTGATCCGCCACCCGGTCTACCAAGGTTTCGACTTCGAAATCATCCTCCGGCGAGGCTATAGATAACTTCTCCATTTGGGCTGCGCCTTGAAGTAGCTCGCGAAGGTCCAATGACGGGTTGAACTTGATGGCACCAAAATTACCAAAATCTGTAAGGGCCAGTTGGTAGAAATACTCGTAGCAAGTTCGGCCGTAATCGATCAGATACAGTTTGACGTCGCCTTGGATTGCTGCCAGCCGTCTTTGCTCATCCACGATACCGACAAAAGTATGGTTGGAAAATATCTCGGTCAGATCGTGGTGTATATTTTCCCTGACTTCATCTCTCAACTTTTTCACGCTGTTCAGTCGGCATTGCACCAGTTCGCGGTCGACTATCTCGTATTCCTGAGCTTCAGGGGCAGCACTTGTATCCGCTGTGCGGTCCATAGAGCCAGTCGACTCGCTTGGGCCAGCTCGGGCAAACATGGATGTAATCTTCCGCTCAGTTGTATCCGTCCTCACTAGGTCATTCGAGTATCTTCGCTTCTTTGATGCCGGAGTTCTTCGACTCGGCGTGCCGTCACTTTCTATTTGTGGGGTGGAATCGATCACTTTTGCACCAGGAAGAAGAGTCTGTGTCATGAACGTCCGGCTTGTATCCACTGCCGCAAGTTTAGACTCAATATGGTCACATATAGATTGAATTATCTCATCTTCGTTGAGAAAGTGAACCTCTCTCTTTGTTGGATGAACGTTGACATCCACCCGTGCTGGTTCGATTTCAAGACTAAGGTAGATGAATGGATGGCCGTTCTTAGGCAAGAAATTAGCATAGGTTTGCTCGATTGCCTTCTTTATGTGGGTTGATTCTACACATCGATGGTTGATGAATAGCAGAAGTGTTGTCTTTTTGACGGAGTAATTTGCGTTGGTTGTGAAACCCTCAGCTTTGAAACCCCAACGGTCTTCAGCGACTGAGAATTCCAAAAGCTCGTTAGCCACGGCGCTACCGTGGATTTGACGAATGCGATCAATGACAGTTGCCTGAGTTTGTATCGATAGATTTGTGGAGGCTTCGCCTGCCTTCTTGCAAGCGAATCCAACGCCTTTGCAGTGCACAGCGTACCGACCGACCATATCGATGATCTTGTTGAACTCATCAGCCGGCGAACGAAAGGCTCTTCTTCGAGTTGGTATATTATAGAATAGGTCTTCCACTGTGATTTGTGTCCCAGGACGACCTGCAACACCTTTGGGCTCTGCGGACTGGCCAGGCTTTGTCGGAGCAAGCTTCCCATCAAGGTAATGGGCCCTCCATGCCAAGTCTGAGTCTTTCGTCTTGGTGGTCACGGAGAGATGGGCGATGTGGCTGATACTGGCAAGAGCCTCGCCCCTGAAGCCATATGTCGCAATGGCTGCCAGATCTTCAAAGCTGGTGATTTTAGATGTCGTGTGACGCTCACAAAGAATGGCCAAGTCTTCTTTCTGTTACAATAGTAAGTTTTGAGGATATGCATATGGGTGGTCATTTTATTACCTGGATACCACAACCATTGTCCGTTATCTGGAGCAGCTTGAGACCTCCGTCCTTGGCGAGGACATCCAGAGAGGTCGCACCAGCATCAACCGCATTCTCGATGAGTTCCTTGAGAGCATGAACAGGAGCCACAATAATTTCACCAGCAGCAATTTTGTTCACCACGTTTGGGTCAAGTGCCTGCAGTCATGTTAGCGGGCGAGCCAGGTTATGCATACGGCGTTGAAGAAACAGCCTCATCAAGTTTGCTTACCCTGATCCTGCGAGGCGCATCACTTTTTGCGGGTAAATTTTCAATAGGCTGCCCACCGGCGTTTCTTTTCGTTCCGCTTGGGGGAACATTTAGAATGTCATCAGAGGCTGTTGGAGCACCTCCCATATCAACATCCGCGTCTGTTGCCATTTCTAGCTATGGCTGCCGAATTGTTGCGCCAGGGCACAAGAACCAGCCAGTGAGGTGGTACCAAGAATTCTTCTAGGGGTAGTTCAATGCGAATGGGTCGGGCGACAGACGTTGTAGGTCATGCACAAGTTGCTTGATATTTCCTCTTCTCTCATTTCGTTTCTCGGGCGTGTCGTCCCATATCTACGTTTCCCGTGGCGCTTCGGATTGACCATACGAGATGATAGCCTATCCCGGGGAAGAGCCTGCTTTGAATCCGATACGTTGGAAAAAGGAGAAAAGGGAGCGGTTCATGCGAGACAAGGACAGGCCGTCAATGACAGGTTGTTAGCAGGCCTCATTGATAGGCAATGCGCGGATGAGCTCGGCCACGTGACTACATTACAACTCGAAGGTGCACCTTCCATCCAAATGGATATCTTCTCAGAATGCAATTCAGCATCTCGACTTCAAGGCAGGCAGGATGCACTTCGAAAAGGATTTGTAGTGTTCACCACTTTAAAAAAAAAAACAAATTATGGACATCCAATGCCAACAAGGATTCAAATTCGCCTTGATCACAGCCCGAAAAGCTCCAGCTGCATCGAACCAAGTTGGGATGAAAGAAGTATTGGGGGCGCCTCGGTCAGTGACTCAACTTTATTCGGCGCCTAGGACGTTAAAAAAAAGGCAACAACGAGAAAGACAGAAAAAAAAAAATGATAAATGATAAACGAGCGTGAATTTTCTCTATCTCCACGCTGCGTCAGCTCTCGCCGCCACGCGTAAGGCGGATCGCAAGCGACACAAATGCAGTCAGCAATGCAGCAAAGTTGCACATATTTAGATACAGCTGAAGCATCATGGTTGGATCCTGGTGAGGGCTCCGACTGTAAATTGAGTGAGGAAACTAGAGCAAGGGGTTCATGTGCCTGAACCGTTCTCTTGCATCATCTCTCGATTGTGCCACCAGCCTTACAGGATCAGGTAGTTAGGTTGTTGTAGGTAGCGTTTTGTGTAAGCAAGAATGGGCTCGTGATTCATCAAAATTCTCCTTGTAGTCCAAAGGCGTATTGCGCATATGCGCTCTTGGTAACACAGCCTCTCTCTCATGACGAAGGGTGTAGATGCTGTCAAAAAGTCGTTGGTTCTTCTTTTATTTTTCATGACAAATCTAAACAAGGTTGTTTTTTACGGTATTTGACGTCAGGTTTGGTTTGTTGAGGATTTTCATGGCCGGCCCCCTGCCGTCTTGGACGCCTTGTCTTGACGAACTGGCTGTGCTTCCATAAGTCTTCTTTCACTTTCAACCTCCAATCATCAAGTAGCCGGGCGCTTTCTTGAATGCACTGCAAATGTAGCCACCTCATGGAAGCGTTGGTGGCTGTTGCTAACGACTTTCTTGACTGAAACATGCGTATCCATTTGACGATTTGGCTGCATCTCTCGTCCGAATCGGGACATGTTAGGACTTATTTCAGGACTCTTGAGCGTGAAGATCTGAACGGCTGCCTGAACGCGTAGGCATGGATGATGGGTGATAATGATGCGGACCAACGCCCGTGGAAAGGGACAAGAGGGAAGAGAACTCATAGCAAGGTCTTGTTTGTATGTTCTCTCACCTGATGCATAATTGTTTGCCACTGGTGTTTTGCGCCAAGTCGCAGTGCAATTCACATAATGTTTGTGTCTAAGATCCAGCGTTGCAGATGCAGGCACGCAATGCATCCGCCTAGATTGTGAATCCGTTGCTCCTCTATAGCCCACGGAAAGCAAGAGAAATACCTTTCTGTGGCACCTCCAAGCCGCTGCATTGCCTCATTGTAAGCCTTGGATACCTTAGTACCTACCTAGGCTCTTTCAGCGGATGGTGGTGTTGCTGAATAACCTGAGGAACAACCCAAGACAGACAATGTGCACAGCCCGGCACACACTCTCTCTTTGTGTGCTGCAAAATTGCGCACTACGAATGCAAGGTACCACGCACCTCATCGTGTGCAGAAGCCAAACAGTCAGCCCAATGCTAGGTTTTTTTCCCATTTTCTTAGACTAAAGAGCTTGAAACGGGTCATTCATTCATTCAGCATTACCTACTTGTGCCAGTGGAGGCTACCTAGGTAGATAAGAGGCAGATGGTCCGCCCATGGTTTGCATATATCAAGAGCCAAACCCCATAAAAGAGATGGTTTGTTCCATCTACCACTCCCAAGATTTATTTCATAAGATCTATCCTTGTACTGCTCCAGAGTGACCTCTATAAAATCTCCGTCAATATCTTCCATTTCCATCCTTCACATCCTCGATTCAATCTCTGTTGGCCCATCCCATTCCACTTAGAGATCGACACTGTACCCTGCAACAAGAACCCGACCTCAGATCCTTCGGCACACGTCCCAACCATTCAAGATGGCAGCCGACTCACTCCCAAGCTCAAGCTCAAACTCAAACTCAAAGACACTGTCATCCAAAAGGTGTGTTTCAAAACGATCCTTCAATATTGTCCACCTACTGATAAGTCATCTTTTCTAGCTGTCTCTGCTCAGGCTCTAGTCATGGAGGATCATCACGCTCCAGCTCCTCCGCATCAAATCGCTGCTCCAGCTGTAGCCTCCGGCCCGGATCTCCACTTCCGGGACGCACCGCATCCGGAGACCGCGACAAGAACGCCTTCGGCTACTTTCATCTCTCGGGCTCAACTACGGGTGTCGCCAATGGGAACGACCCCCTTGCAGCCGAACTTGGTGCTGAATGGGAAGCTGGTCAAAAACTCGGCCATCAAATGGCCCATGGTCTGCCCAACTTGTCGAATTTGAACTGAGTAACTACCTATAACGTTACATGCAGTCGAAAAAGAAGAAGAAGAAGAAGAAGAAGAAGAAGAAGAAAGGGCATGTCGGGGTCGAGAGGCAGCGAGTCGGATACAAGAAGAATAGTCGCGAGACAAAGTGTGCAGCAATATTGTATTTCTTTTTTATTTCTTTCCAGAGTTTTATCTGATATTGCTCTTCTCCTCTTTCAAGTATCGGTTCTTATTACAATATGGTATGCACGTCGAATTGATAAACCTGGTCAAATTGGAATATAGAAGAATTCAAAAACGGGTTCGAGTCCTTAATTGTACGGAGCACAAGCCATACTATACTATAACATAACCTCTGCATCTATATAAGCAAAGATCCTCTCTCCCTCCCCGTGACATCATCGTCAAGCACCGCCACAGCTCAGCTCAGCAGCTCATTCATTTCGATACTACTATGTACACGGGGCGACGGGTCTTCCTCCGAGTCTCCCTAAGCGGGAGTGCCCACTCCTTCTCCCGTCTGCCGTCTCCCCAACTGCCGTAACGTTCCATGCGCGGACGGATACCTTACGGGGGTTGGCCGGTAGGCAGATGCGGATGCAGATGCAGATGCAGATGAACTAACGGAGACTCGGAGAATATTTTAATTTTAAAAATTTAGGCAAGGTACTTGTTATGTTAGTACATATGATTTGCAGTCCCGGACCATCCATCCCGTCCTTAACATTGGATACATCGAGACATACGGAATAGGTCTCTTTGAACGCACACGCCCCCCGGGAACCCCCTGCGAATCGCACTTCAACAGAGCCAGATTCGGGTATTGACTCGCACATCGCATCCTTTCTATTGGATCCATGATTCTGTGTATATCCGAATTGCACTGCACATATCCGTTGCACTCACCTCTCATTGGCCTTTAATAAAGACCCTTCCCTTCTCTGGCCTGCCTTGTCCTTGTCATTGTCCTTGTCACATCACCTCAGCGCCGCACGCATTGTAACACATAGGTAGGTACTGCCACTGCACGCTTAGGTCTGTCCCGTCTGTGTTACCAAACACGTGCTATTACTCATTGTATCGTCCGGTATTCACATCCTCTTCTTTTCCTCTTGCATAATCTGACTCGCTCACTCTCCTCTGCTCTGCCGAGCCTCATTCCTCAAGCCCAAGCCCAGGCAAGACGTGCCGCCGGCCTTATTCCATGTCTAGTCCCACCACAACGCATCACTGGCCTCGTTTGCCCGTTCTTTCACGTCCATACCCATAACGCCTTCAGACTCAACTAACCCCCAATTCTCTGCTCATACAAAGCTGTCTAACAACAAAGATCAGCCTAGCTGAATCAAACTGTATATATGGATATATTTGACATTGCAAAACTGTTGTCGCTCTCCCCAACCTAACGCCGCCGGCTGTAAATGCACAGATGCTTCAGCGACACCAACAGGCCGTATTCACCCTCCTTTCTCGCTCTCATACACGTAACGATACACAAGACACAATCATAACAAGAGGATTATAGTACATGTGGCGTCTCGGTAGACACAAATTCCCGCCGCACTAAAATCAAACCAACAAAAATCAAACAAGCCATGTATCTGGACGCTCCACATGATCCAACTTCCATCCATGCAAATATCAACAACGCTTATCGCCGCCGCTCAGGGTCATCGGGTTTGTCGATCAGACCGCCAATATCAACTCGGTTGGGCCTTTCCTCGCGTGTCCGTGGCCGAGGCTGCTCTGGCCCTGGCTGGGCTCGAATTGGTGGAAGCTGAAAAGCTGCTTGAGGTCGATACACGCTCGCAGGGGGCAGTTCGCTTCGGGGAACATTATATGATGGAGGTCCTCCATACTCTGCATGACTTGGTGATGCAGCATACGAAGTTGACCCCGCCCCGCCAGCAACTCCAGGATTTATGGCGGCTGGCAACTGTGTTGGGGGAACAGCAGCCGGTCGAGATACCAGTGGGACTTCGCTGAATCGACCTCTGGGCATATCAAAGGGTGGCCCTGGTGGCACCGGTGTCCTGTAAAGAGACTGTGGAGTTGGCGGCTGAGAACCATACGCATGCGAAGCCTCTCTGGTGGCCGGCGAAGAAGGTAAAGGGTACGCATGCCGGGTTGGTAAGCTCAGGACCATGACAACGACGTAGATCGAGCCCTCCTTCTCGAGCCCGAGTCGAACGGGATACTGTCTCGGTTGTCCATCAGCAGCTCTGAAAGTTAGGTATTCATTTCGGTCGAGTTGGAAGCGTCCGATATCCTCTGCGCCAAAGCCAAGTCCCTGGATGATATGGTCGAGTCGAGAAAGGATTGGTGGTAAATAGTTCGGCTCCTTTCGTGTTTGCTCTTCGATCAGTTGACTTCTAATCGACGCAACTTTCTCCCTTTCCGCAGGAATAACGACATCCCCCAAATTCTGTCCCTGGAGTTCCACATGGCCTACAGCTTCCATAAAAGTTGGCGATGCCTTCGCAAAATCCATCTTCATGTTCAAGAAAGCAACAGGGTCTGCTCCTCGAGGCCCGGCCGATAGGGGGGGTGGGAAAGTGGGAGCGTCCATGTTGGGCCCTCGCTCAAGATATCTCGGGTTCATATGTTCCCTATTATCAAATCATTAGCATTTCGACAAGATGCCAGGACGCCACGTCATCCGCCTTACCCAGGTCCCATTGGAACGCCCGAAGGGTATATGCTCAATGGTCGCCTCGCCGTAGTATCTTGCGGATGAGGAAATCTGGATGGATCATAGCGAGTTTCACGATCGTCTCTTAGTCGCGGTCGTCCTCGCTTCTTGTGTTGAACATCGACGCATGATTCTTCCTTCCCATTCGTGATACATCTCGAACATGGACGTTGTGCTATTGATGCATTAGCGCTCCTTGCCTTTGCGGAGTCATATCAGAAGCGTATATCGATGTGTGCATTCCGCGTGGCCATATTCGAGGCATCGACAAGAGACACAACATGCATTTAATCAGGTCGTCTTTTTCCTATGATACGAAGTCCAGTGTGTAGAGACCCGGCCATGGACTGGCCAGGTTGGCATCGTCTCCCAATCTTGGAGGATTCTCGAGCAAGGAAAGGGATTTCACAGCATAACGTAAAGGAATAGGTTTTCGAAAACATACCATCACAGCTAATCACGAGTTAGTACAGCTAGTTCATATGGACACATAGAGGACCATTTACCGAAGATGCGCTCGTTTACAAGGGACGCATGCGGAGGCCACATGACCTTTCGTTTTCCGCTGCGATTTCGGGGAAGTCATAGGCTGATTCTCAATCACTGACGGGCGGACAGACGACGTGTAAGACGAAGGTGCCCCAGGAATTCCGGGAGGAATATAACCAGATGACTGGGGCATAGATGGCCCCCCTGGTTGGATGTACGAAACAGGTCGAGGTACGGTCTCTTCTGTCCTTCGATATGAAAACGGTGGTGCGTCTGGGGGGCCTGGTTGGAATAATCTGGGAAGCGTGGTCTGCATGTTGGCAGGTCCTCGGTGATCAGTCGGTAATTGTTGATTTGAGTTGCCCCAGTAAGTATCGGTCTGGCTAGAAGCTGAATATCCCACTGGTGCTTGCCCTCGATCCCCAGCGTCTTGGGGCTGCTTCGAGGGGAGGGGCGGAGATCCTGACATGGGTGGAGAGGGATATGCTCGGTATCGAGCAAAAGAGTCTTGCTCTGCGCTCTCGGATACCCAGGCCAGGTCTAAGGCAATTTGCGCCAGGTCTGAGATGCCGCGGCGTTGGCCGAGCGGGACGGAAGCTGAATCGGAGACGGATCCCTTGATGACCATGAGGGCAAAGTTGCTACAGGATTAGTGGCTGGACAGACAGTAACTCCAACCCTGAGCTAGAAACAACAAAGATAGACTCTGGGTTTGTCGTCTTGGTCTGTTTTTGCGATACAATCGGATTTGATCTGGGCTAACTTCCAGTTGTCGTCAATGGCCACCGGTCAATATCCAGCTGACCTGGACAAAGAGGTATCTCTTGTTAAGCTCCAGGTGCAAATTCAGCAGCTTCTTACCAGTCCGACAACCCCTTCTTTCGAGTTGCGAGTTGGAAGGTCGTTGAAGCTGATCTTGATGGAGATGTGCCCCGCTTCTAAGATCTGCGGAGCTGAGGTGGCAGAGGAGCAGAAGTTATCAAGGGCATTCGGGATGCTGGGCTGACGGTTGTGAAGGAACACTCCAACGGTAGCGAGTCAGGGATCAAAGAAGCGACAAGCGAGTGCCAAGGCGAGGAGGCGTGAGACGAGATGCTGCACCGTGATACTACAAAGATGCGATCTTGGAGAGGTCCTGGTGATACAGCGTCAAGCCGTGCAGTTGGGAGGTCGAGACGGAAGCGGCCAACCGCAGATACTCAGGGCCGGAACCTGAGAGGCGGAACCGGGTGAGGTAGAGCGGGTAAGTAAGTATATTCGGGCCCCTTGCTGGCCGGGAGGCCATGAACACAGGTGATCGGGCTGTGGACGGAGACTGTTCGGTGGCCTACGCTTGGGTTTTGTGAGACTATGTATGCAATAAAACCTTCTCTCTGAGTGGCAGCGCGACTGAGATGCAGCTTGGATGGATCAGGGTTGGTGACAGGGCAGTAGGACCCTGGTTCGGATTTTAGAGTGGCTGCTAAGTCAATCAAGGGTTCCGGTAGATTTCCATAACGAGAATTCTCCGCCTCCCTTGGTCTTTGCAATATGCGCCAGAAGATCACCAAGGTGAGAGATTTGGCGCGGAAGCAATAAGACAGGATACGTGATGGTGATTGGGGCGTTCTATCAGCTGGAAGTAGTGGTATAGGCGATGTAATAGTGTGAACAAGCAGAAGCAATATTAGCTACAACCTTCCAGCCTTTACTTCTCGCTGAGCACCTAGTGAGAGGTTCTTGTTAATCGGCGGAGGGTGCTCTTCAGTTTTGATAGCGGGGGTGTAAGGCAAGATCAAGATGAACAAGGGCGGTCGAGGGAAGATGCTGAATGGAGTGAGAGAACCGCCGTAGTCAAGTCGGGCTCACGCCGACTGGCTGGGTTAGATATCGGCCGTCCCGAAAGGACGGAATTGAGAGAGAAGGGCAACAAAGACAAGCAACGAGCATGTCTATTGAAGCAGTAGTAAGTTCTGTATCTGTATCTGTACCTGAACCAGGAGAAAGCAGGGACAAGGATGAAGTAGAGAATGTTGAGTCCAAAACAGAAGCCTACGCCTGAGACCAAAACTAAGACTCAGACGAAAGACAGAGATGCAAATGTAAATGCAGGTGTTGACAAACTTGACCTGGTACGATACTGAAGTCTCGTCTTTTCCTAAGTAAGGGCCCGCGCAATGGGAAGCCCAGCCCAGCCTAAGCAAGCCAGCTAGACTAGGGCCCTGAGTGTAAACTTCAGGGCTTGTGGAGATAGTCTTGGTGGCCCGTTATGAAGCTTGTCGAAGTGCTCAACGCCCGGCCGAGGGGGAGGGGTGCGACAGGGAAAACCCTGAGAACCCAGCAAACCTGACCCAACCAGCACCTTAGTGCCAACTTGCTTGGTAACCCTACAAAGGTGTAAGTCAAGAAGGACACACGATTGACATATGTGAGTTCGTGGCCAAGGATCACGGTAGTCAGCCAAACTACAGAGTTCAAATAGGGTATGGACATTGTTTAATTGTTGGTTATTGAGCAGCATGCGAATGATTACGGAACTTGAAAGCATTTTTTGTCGAAACCCATGACATACTTTGTCCAGGAAAGCCGGAAACACCACAGCTCACGACCAAGATAAGCCACTACGAAGTCATTTGTGGAAGCTCAAAGAATGATAGACTCTCAGGAACCATTTGGACAGGGTGAGTGGCCAGTCGAAAGAAGTTCAGTGAGGACAGAGAGGCATTGGCCAATTGATAGCCCATGGGCCACAACAAGTGGGCTGAGTTGTAGTTAATAATGGATCGTACCCTTCACATCGCTCGTGGCTGGGAGCTTCAGACCCCAAGAGAATCCAGATGTCAACCTCATTACTAGTAGATCTGATCTGTCCGCCGCTGAATAGACATTCAACGTCGACGTTGTGCATCGTGTATCAGTTGTGCAAATACAATGTAGTATCAGCTGGTCCATTGTTGGAGGCCGATTCATTAGGTGCATTGCACGCGGATGTGCACAGGAAGGCCAAGGTGGAGCTCGCATGCGACTGGCTCACAAACTTGTCCTCTGTCCATAATAAACATGATTGATAGGGACGAATTCAGGTACCGAAAGCTCCAAGACTCGCAAGTTTTACGGGTTGGCCGCAATATGGGGGTGTTAATTACACTATCCCTTCAGGGTGTGTGTGTTAGTGGTGGCTTTGGGTCACGTTGTTGGCGTTCATGACTGGTACGGATACTCTTGGTGGACTTAGGGTCTCCAGTATAGGTAGTGTTCAAACTGAAGGCAAAGCCACGTTGTGAAAATCGGCAGCGATTGTTCGGCCGGTGCTCCGAATTAACGAGGTCATTCATGATGCCTGCGACTGCAATAGGAACCAACTGAGATACACACAGAGCCCTGCTGTCCTGATACTGGGCCACGGACAAAACTCAGGGGTGCAGGGCCGAGGTTGCAGCCAGGGTTTCCTGAGAACGGGGGCCAAGTAATAGATGGTGATGCAAGAAACAGTGGCCAAGCAAGATGAAATGCGGGTTGGGCCTGCACAAAATGGAGGTCGGGAGTTTTCCGCTCCATGCCTCGCTTATTAGTATCTTGTGAGGCTTGTCTTGAACATAGTTGACGCTCTATTAACCCACTAGGTGCTGTATCACCGTGATAGGAGAAGGGTAGAGCTCCGTTTGGGGATTGGGGTGATGGCGATCCAAGCGATATTGGCTCAGACGAGTTTAGCTTTATTGTTCCGGCCGGCAACGTTCAACGTCCATCAGCCCTCGAACGAGCCCCCCAGTGGCCTGGAATATCGAACCCTGGGGCATGGGACACCTAGCCCCTAGGCTAGTATCGCGAATCTAGCCAGACATAGCGACAGCGACGGGCGGCGCGGAAGACGAGGAAAAAGTGGCTGGATTCTCACAGGAACATGACATGGCCAGGGTGCCAGGTGCCAGGTGCTAGGCGCTAGGCGCTAGGCACTAGCTACCTAAGTGCTTTGGTTGTACTGTGGTGGGTGGTCTTGATCCCTGAAATAGAAGATTTGGTGTAGATATCTCTTCGTCAGTACATACGTCACAATTCTCATGGCAGACACTGGTAGATTGTAGCTTGTAAGTTTTGTGATATCGTCGTGACATGTACCTAGAGGCCTCACTCATACCTTGTTCGCCTCTTTCCCTTGATGAAGCCTGTAGACAGGAATCAAGTGACATGGCCTATTTGAGGAAAGTGCCTTCTGGTTGACACGGGGCCTTGTCATTGTTCTCTACAACAGGTAATTGCATCCATGGCAGCTACCTACCTTACCCAGTCACTTTTCGAGGTCGTGCTTACCTCCAACTTAGATTGGAAGGAACCTTCCTACTAAGCCAGCTCAACCCCAACCATGGCCAGCGCCGATTAACTTTTCCTAACCTTTGTTTGATATCGCGATCTCTTCATGTGTAGCTACAAACATTGTTCTTACCTTATTTTGCCTCCCAATAAATAGTGCATCTAAATACTGACGTTACAGCATGCCGAGAAATACAGGCGCAATGCCGTGAGATCTGGTATCAGGGTGCAAGGTTTAGCCCCAGTCAGTTGTACCACGTATTATCCCTGTCCTCTGGTTCTTCAACACTACGTTTTCGACTCGAGACTCGCTCACCGGATCACAACATGTTGGGCAACACAAGACGATACGCCGCCGGCTCCCACTATCTTGTGGGGGCATCCTTTTGTTCTGCAACCGAGCACATGATCCAGGGGATCGTTGATGACGCATCGCAGGTTCCAACTCCAAGCCAGTGCTATTAGGAACATCCCGAGTTGATGAGGAGGCTAGGGTGGCAGCCCGGCCCGTAACGAGGGACACTCAGATCTCACTACGATGTATAAGCTGCTACGCAGGTGTTCTACTCAAAGGTACGGAGTAGACGCTTCGATGATTTGTATAGGCCTTCACAAATGATCCAGATGCACTTGCCTATCAATAATTCAGAGCCGGCTTTTCCAAACATGCTCACTCTGGCTTCACATCATCTTCAGAGTGCGAGCAGCTCTTCAGGCTCCCTCTACTAGCAGATTTCGTCCCCCTCCCCCACTATGCGGCTGTCACTGCAAGGCGCATGGTGTCAGGTTAGGAATCTCTGGGCGGGGCTTCATTTCAATTAGCTACAACGAAGATAAACATCCGAACCTGGCTGCCTCAGTCATCTGGTCTTCTCGGTACCATGTCTGCCTTTCCAGGTGTTGCATAGAGTCGCTTCCAACCTGACTCGAGTTGTGTGGTTTGGTGTTTAATCAAGTTTTCATGACGTTGCCTGGTTGCCGTCGACTACTGCAGCCTTTAATAAACGGCTGACTACTGGCTAGTGCGATCCCACCGACCACTCCGAGTTCTATCAGGTAGGTATTGCGCAGGAATACATCTGGCTGCACTGCGCACTCAGGCAAAGGAGCAATCCGTGCTATCTAGTGGATGCAACAGTACCATCGTGGACACTTACGCAGACAAATTTTCCGTCTCGTTGAGCGCTAGATCTTTAATCGCTGAGCTTGATTTGTGGTGATGGCGGCCCAGGCAAATATACACCCTTGTCGCTCAAGCGGGCCAAGCATGGCATGCGCATGGCATACCGGATGAGCCATGTTGCTTATGGGCACCAGTGCATATTATCACATCTTGTC